ATATATATATATATATATATATATATATATATATATATATATATATATATATACACATACAGAGAAAGTAAATTAAGATATAGGTGATACAGTAAATGCAGTAAAATGTTAAGCGTTTATTTTTCTTTGGTTATTTAATGCTATTAAACGGTGAGTAGCGTCACGGTTGTGTGCTGTAATTGAATATGTGTAAGTTTGTGCATGTTTGATCATCAAGGATCTAAAAACAGAAGATGACGGTGGCCAGACCGGGACATTTATGCTTCAATTTTCCTACATTGAACAGAAGATATATGCATGTTTTCTATAGTCTATGTTCTGAAGAGTGACGCTGCGCCCTCTACTGGTCTGTCCTGGTATGTGTGTTTTTTTTTATTATCACTGAATATGTCCACATACTGCTCACTCATCCTGTTGTCTTCTCAAGCGTGGGCTTCATCCTAACTCGCTGAGAGGAGTAAACAGAGTGTGAATGAACTGACCTTTCAGTGTTTCTGGATGAGAGCGTCTTCAGCTTGATGGCTCTGCCGGCTCTCTGAGGCCTGCACATAAACCAGAGACGTTAACTGAGTCGCTAGTGCCTTTATATTTACCACATAACTGATTTTAGACTGATTCTGAGTCGTTTAGGGACATAAAGAACAGTGAGGATGATTGTCATTATTATGTTCATTGCAAATAACATGATTTGTTTACCTGACAAAATTAAACACGTAGCTTTTGAGGCGATTAGTTGGTTGACTTTTACTTAAAAAGGAGTAAACACAATGCTTTTCAAGTGAAAAGTTGAATTTAAAGTGAGCAAACCTGTTGCTTTTAAAGTGATTAGTTAAATTTAATAAAGTGAGTAAACCTGTTGCTTTTAAAGTGATTAGTTGAATTTACTTAATAAAGTGAGTAAACCTGTTGCTTTTAAAGCTATTAGTTGACTTTACTTTAATAAAGTGAGTAAACCTGTTGCTTTTAAAGCGATTAGTTGACTTTACTTTAATAAAGTGAGTAAACCTGTTGCTTTTAAAGTGATTAGTTGACTTTACTTAATAAAGTGAGTAAACCTGTTGCTTTTAAAGCGATTAGTTGACTTTACTTAATAAAGTGAGTAAACCTGTTGCTTTTAAAGCTATTAGTTGAATTTACTTAATAAAGTGAGTAAACCTGTTGCTTTTACAGTGATTAGTTGACTTTACTTAATAAAGTGAGTAAACTTGTTGCTTTTAAAGCGATTAGTTGACTTTACTTAATAAAGTGAGTAAACTTGTTGCTTTTAAAGCGATTAGTTGACTTTACTTGATAAAGTGAGTAAACCTGTTGCTTTTAAAGCGATTAGTTGACTTTACTTAATAAAGTGAGTAAACTTGTTGCTTTTAAAGCGATTAGTTGACTTTACTTTAATAAAGTGAGTAAACTTGTTGCTTTTAAAGCGATTAGTTGACTTTACTTTAATAAAGTGAGTAAACTTGTTGCTTTTAAAGCGATTAGTTGACTTTACTTTAATAAAGTGAGTAAACCTGTTGCTTTTAAAGTGATTAGTTGACTTTACTTTAATAAAGTGAGTAAACCTGTTGCTTTTAAAGCGATTAGTTGACTTTACTTAATAAAGTGAGTAAACCTGTTGCTTTTAAAGCTATTAGTTGAATTTACTTAATAAAGTGAGTAAACCTGTTGCTTTTACAGTGATTAGTTGACTTTACTTAATAAAGTGAGTAAACCTGTTGCTTTTAAAGCGATTAGTTGACTTTACTTTATAAAGTGAGTAAACCTGCTGCTGTTAAAGCGATTAGTTGACTTTACTTTAATAAAGTGAGTAAACCTGTTGCTGTTAAAGCGATTAGTTGACTTTACTTTAATAAAGTGAGTAAACCTGTTGCTTTAAAAGCGATTAGTTGACTTTACTTTAATAAAGTGAGTAAACCTGTTGCTGTTAAAGCGATTAGTTGACTTTACTTTAATAAAGTGAGTAAATCTGCTGCTGTTAAAGCGATTAGTTGACTTTACTTAATAAAGTGAGTAAACCTGTTGCTTTTAAAGTGATTAGTTGACTTTACTTTATAAAGTGAGTAAACCTGTTGCTTTTAAAGCGATTAGTTGACTTTACTTTAATAAAGTGAGTAAACCTGTTGTTTTTAAAGCGATTAGTTGACTTTACTTAATAAAGTGAGTAAACCTGTTGCTTTTAAAGCGATTAGTTGACTTTACTTAATAAAGTGAGTAAACCTGTTGCTTTAACAGCGATTAGTTGACTTTACTTTAATAAAGTGAGTAAACTTGTTGCTTTTAAAGCGATTAGTTGACTTTACTTAATAAAGTGAGTAAACCTGTTGCTTTTAAAGCGATTAGTTGACTTTACTTTAATAAAGTGAGTAAACCTGTTGCTATTAAAGCGATTAGTTCACTCTACTTTAAGACTATAGAATACACAAGTCATGTCTCTCGTATACTTTCGAATGGGGAAATGTGTAACTGTCAATACGGCTAATGAAGCCTTCTAGTACAGGAGCCAGTCAGTGATCGCTATAGGATCACAATTCTCTGGGGAAGGTGCTCGGACCAAATGTCATGTGGGTTTAGAATGACGACAGACTTTTCTTTTTTGGATGAACAAACCCTTAAAGCAACACTTTAATTTTTTTTTTTTTTGGAAATAAGCTAATTTTACAAGTTCCCTAGAGTTAAACAGTTGAGTTTTACCATTTCGGAGTCAGTTAAGTCAAGTTCTAAATAGTTCTAAATTATCCAAACTCTTTCTTTTTATTTTTAAAATCAGATGCTAATGGTCTAATCTGATTCAACGATTTATGCTAAGCTAAGCTAAAAGTTAGAGGTCAGCTGAATGGATCCAGAAAAATGGTAAAACTCAACTGTTTAACTCTAGGGGAGCTGTAAAATTTGCAAAAATAAAAGTGTAGTGTTTCCTTTAAATGAATCAGCACTTTCCAAATAAAACATAACAATCCGAGGTCAAAAATAGCCTTCACCCTTCAGTGTGTGTGTGTGTGTGTGTGTGTGTGTGTGTGTGTGTGTGTGTGTCGTCCAGCAGTGTATTGAGGGTCAGGAAATGAGAGCAGTGTCAGGAGCTTATGTCCTCATTGTCTGAACTTCCTGCTAGCGTGTGCGTTCACTTAAACTGCTGTCAGTTTATATATATATATATATGTATGTATATATATATATACATATATATATATATGTATGTATATATATATATATATATATATATATATATATATATATATATATATATATATATATGTATATATATATATACATACATATATATATATATATATATATAACACATACACACATTTA